TACCAACTCCGCACCCAACATCCAATATCACCCTTGTATGCTTCCCCCATGCAATGTCTGGTTGTGCCTGAACAATAATACATAACCAATTATTTTTAAGGGAAATGAGCTATGTAGCATCGACACTTCTAAAATAATATGTCATTGTATTTGATTATTTTCAATTTATTCATTTTATCAAATTATTTATTACTTGTATCATGCTTAATAGGGAATACGAACTTGTTAAGAAAATGAATTATTACCTGTTGAAGAAAATCAATATAGTGGAGAGCACCATGAATGAACTGAGTGCCACCTCCAGGGAATGTCAAGAACTCACCCATCAACTTCACCCAATTTTGGTGTCCTTTTACTTCAGCTAGCTTAACATGTGGTACATTGTGGTACCATATCTAAATTACAAAAACATCTTTCAGTACAATGCACATTTATTATTAATTTTACATAAAGTAGAATCTTAAATTTGAAGGGTATATATAAGAGAACCTTATCTCTACTACCAGGCCATGGAACATGTATTTTGTATCCTTGAGGAAGTGAGACCAGACAAGTTGGTGCATCCTCAGGGCAATGCCTCTCTCTATGTTCAAAGTGTTTTCTATGTGATGTCTTTAGATACTTTTCATTATCCAAACATGGAATATAATCAGCTCCAGATGTTACATTGCATATACTCCACTTAAAATCTTTCCCTTCTTGATCAATAACAACATTACTACTACTTCCACTCGGTTCATCGACGTTTTGTCTCTCCTTTTCACCTCGAGACTCGTCTGCTTGTGTCGACCATTGTTTCTTCAATTCCTTCCTCGACTTCCTCCTCTTCCTCTCCTGTTTCGGCTTCTCGTTTTCTTGTTCTTTTGGTTCGTCCACTTTGGACATTTTGACCTCGCTTTCGCCTTTGTCTTCCTTTAACTGTTGTTCATTCGCTTCATCCTGAGCTTCTTGTTGCCGATCACCCTTTGCATTCACTTCATCTTTCTCCAACACAACGTTTTTCTGATCATTGTTTGAATTTCTCGGCTCCTTATTTTGAGCGAACGATTGTTTCGGCTGTTCATTGTTGTTTGTATTACCAGCATTGTTTGCATCATCATTTTTGATAGCATCATCGGGTAGATTACCTGGATTGTCTCCAAACACAGTAGTAGTATCCTTTCGATCTGGGTTCTTTGTGCTACTTTCAGACGCTGATATCAAATCGTTGTTTGTAGTTTCTGCTATTGAATCACCAATATTATTGTTAGCGTTGGTTGAGCTTTCAGATGTTGAATCATCTAAATTATACTTGGCGTTGATTCTACTTTCAGCTGCCAAATCACCCGAATTATCATTGTCATTGTTGTTGGCCGTGGTGGTTTGATCATCGGAAGAAAAATCATTGGTGGTGGAAGTATCAACGGCCGAACGCGTCTTAGGCGAAACAACCGAGTTTGAAGTTAGCATCCATACACCTAAGACACCTAGTGCAATGAAAACTAATGTTGTTAAGGTTGATGTGTAAGAAGAAGATGATGATGATCTTCGATTACGTGACTTGATAGGAGGTGCCATAGATTTTTTGTTGTTGATTATGAAGAAAGTGGAAATGGTGAGTGTGTGAGAGTGAAATTGAATTTTTTTGAGTGATGTTTGTGGAGGAAAGGAATTGGAATGTGATGTTCTTAATTTGGAAAGTTGGAAATTATCAATGATCCAAAAGAGACGGAGTAGGGAATTTGTTTAAGACATAATTGGTTGCTATGTTTGGGTGTAAGTGGAAAATACAAAGAAAAAACATATGGTTTATTTTAGTCGCTTGGTTTTCTATTACATCTTTTAATGTCATTTGTCTTTTCTTTTTATCAGTCGTCTGCTCCTCAAAGTATTATTAATATTTCCATCCATTTAGTGATGTTTATCGATCAATGGTTCTTTTACTCATTAATCAACCTGGTTAAATGCAAATTTGTAGAAGTAACATTGCTCTTATATATATATATATATATATATATATATATATATATATATATATATATATATATATATATATATATATATATATATATATATATATATATATATATATATATATATATATATATATATATATAACTGGTTGCTATGTTTGGGTGTAAGTGGAAAATACAAAGAAAAAATATATGGTTTATTTTAGTCGCTTGGTTTTCTATTACATCTTTTAATGTCATCTGTCTTTTCTTTTTATCAGTCGTCTGCTCCTCAAAGTATTATTAATATTTCCATCCATTTAGTGATGTTTATCGATCAATGGTTCTTTTACTCATTAATCAACCTGGTTAAATGCAAATTTGTAGAAGTAACATTGCTCATATATATATACATATATATATATATATATATATATATATATATATATATATATATATATATATATATATATATATATATATATATATATATATATATATATATATATATATATATATAAAATTGGTTGCTATGTTTGGGTGTACGTGGAAAATACAAAGAAAAAACATATGGTTTATTTTAGTCGCTTAGTTTTCTATTACATCTTTTAATGTCATCTGTCTTTTCTTTTTATCAGTCGTCTGCTCCTCAAAGTATTATTAATATTTCCATCCATTTAGTGATGTTTATCGATCAATGGTTCTTTTACTCATTAATCAACCTGGTTAAATGCAAATTTGTAGAAGTAACATTGCTTATATATATATATATATATATATATATATATATATATATATATATATATATATATATATATATATATATATATATATATATATATATATATATATATATATATATATATATATATATATATATATATATATATATATATATATATATATATATATATATATATATATATACACGTGAGAGAAACACAGGATTAAGAGTTGAATATCTGATTCTCACAAGTGTGAGAGTATTTATAGTGTCTCCAGTGCATGACCATTGGTTCATATTATGGGTCAAATATCTAGGCCCAAAATGCGTAACTGCCAGAATTCCTACGAGAAAACAAGGACGAGTAGCTCGTGCTCGTCGACCTGAGAAGCTGCCCCGTATCTCACGAGCAAAGTGTGGACAAGTTGTTGTCACGGGAAAAGATGTTCGCTTTCAGCTGCGCGAGATGTGCGAGATCTGTTGGCCACGTGCCTTCAGGAGAGGGGCACGCGGAAAGTGTGCTATTTACTGGCCCTGATGGATTGGGCCAGTACTTTTAGGTCGTTTCGAACACGGATGGATTGGGCCAGTCGTAGGTCTAGTCCAAAATAGGAACCCCCAAGTCGTTACTTTTAGGCATAAGAGCAATGACTTAGAGTCAGCCCGTGTGTTGAGGAGGAGTGAGGGATTAAGCGCAAAAAGAGCCCCGTTAGGGCTCGCCGTTTTTTGAATTCGTGTGACCGTCAACTGAGCTTGCCACTGATGCTTCTTGTTCGTGAGTCCACGCGCCCAAGGATGGTATCCTGATCGAACTTCTTCGACAAGGTTGAGCTCCTCTCTTAGCACCTCGTTGTTCATATCCTTATTGAGGGGAGATTCAGTTCGTCTGGAAGACTTTCTGATTTTGATTGAGATTACCGCTTCGGTCCCATAGACCAGTCGGAAAGGGGTTTCCCCAGTGGTCGAGTGGGGGTTGTTCGGTAGGCCCAAAACATGTTGTGTAGCTCTTCGACCCATTTCTTTTTGGTCTAGTCTAATATTTGTTTTAGGCCTCGTAGGATCACCCTGTTCGCGACTTCAGTCCGTCCGTTTGTTTGTGGGTGCTCGACAGATGCGAAGTGTTGTTTGGTATCTAGTTTGGCGACGAATTCCAAGAAATTTCTATCGGTGAATTGTGTCCCTTTGTCGGTGACGATTGCTTGGGGGTATGCCGAACAAGGCAAGCATGTTTCTCTTATAGAAATAGAGTATGCTTTGTGTCGTGAATTTGGCGAGGGTCTCTGTCTCTATCCACTTTGTAAAATAATCCACACTGACTATCAAGTATTTATTCTGATTTTAGTCTATGACAAATGGCCCGAGGATGTCCATTCCCCACCAAGTGAAGGGCTACAAGGAAGAGAGGGATTTAAGCTCGTTGGACGGTGCTAAATGCATGTCCCCCATGGCGTTAGAATTTGTTGCATTTTTTGACATGTTCCTTTTCATCATTTTTCATGGTGGGTCAGTAACAACCCGCTCGCATGGCCTTTAGGGCGAGGGATCTTCCCCTGGGATGTTGGACGTTGATTCTTTCGTGGATTTTTTGCAGTACGTGGGTGACTTTGGATTCCTCTACACATTTGTGGAGAGGAATAGAGAATACTTGCCTGTATAACTTGTTCTTGATTAAGATGTAAGTGCATACTCAGCGCCTAACCACTTTAGCTTCCTTCAGGTCAGAGGGTAACTCTCCTATCGCAAGGTAGTTGTATACCAAAGTCATCCAGGACTCGTGGTTGTCGATGGCGTTTACATTGAGGGTTGCATCCTATTTTTTGATGATCGGACGAGGAAGTATTTCTTGGGTGACGAACCTATTTCCTCTTTTCCTCTTTGTGCTCACAAGCTTTGATAGGATGCCCATTCACGTGTTGTGCTCGCGATGGACGTGTTTCACTTCAGCGCATTCAAATTTCATTATTTTATCTTAAACCAGGGATAAGTACTTGGAGAGATTGTCGTTTTTGACTTGATATTCCTCCAACACCTGAGAGGCTTCGAGTTGGGAATCAATGAAGATTTTTATCTCTTCAGCTCCTAAATCTTCTACCTAACATCGTCCCACGAGGAAGGCTTCATACTATGCCTGTTTATTCGAGGTTGGGAAGGATAAAGTAAGGGACACTTCGACCGAGATTCCCTCCTCGTTCTTCAAGATGATGCCTACTCCGCTCCCTGTCGAGTTGGATGCTTGTAATACGGTGGCAAAACTGACTGTTAATACTGTTTTGCATTTTTTGTTTGCAAATGTTGCGGTAAGTAAGAGTCGCCACCGAATTTTCTTTTATCCAACAAAGGAAAGGGTGAAAAGAATAGAAAAAGACCTTTTTCGAGATTTTTTTGAGTAAGGGGGGGTAGATTATGGAAAGGGAAGGTGTTAGTACCCTTTCTATCCGTGGTTTTCCACGGTGTGATCGGTGGATTTAGAACTGACTGTTTAACGCTGGTTCGCAAAATGTCGAGGAAGCAAGAGTCGCCACCGTCTTTTATTTTCTCCAACATGGACAGGACAAAAGCACAACAAAATTCCTTATGAGAACGTTTCTCGGTTCGGGAGGTAGATTTATAGAAAGGGAAGGTGTTAGCACCCTTTCTATCCATGGTTATCCATGGGCTCTTAGATACTTGCTCTTATGTTTTCAAAAGATGTTTGCTTTTCAAGTGTGAATGGGTTTTGAAAAAGTTTCGTTTGAAAAATTTCTAAGTAACTCTTGTATCTGTCCTCAAGAGTGTATGAAAAATTTGTTTGAAAACTTTTAGAAAGTGTAAGGTGTGAAAAGTATTTTTGTTTGTTTGAAGAGAGCAAGTATTTAAGAGAAATCTACCTACTCTAAGGAATTGGGCTGTGTAAGAGTCCTTTAGATAGTGCTATCCCATCATTGAGAGGTAGGTAGCACCATCGTTGGAGGTGTTCGGGTCAATTCGATTTTAGGGACAGTGTGGTCACCGAAGCAATAGTTAGGATACCTTAGAAGTAACCCTAATGTCCTAGGTCCTTTTATCCGAGGCAACCGTTTCGAGGCAACTGTTTCGAGGCAACTGTTTCGAGGCAACTGGATCTTTGGACTAAGGGTGACCTCTAAGACGTTCTATACTTGATGACCACGTTTCGAAGGCAACGAGTGAGGCGTACCCTAGAAGTGGTGTGTGCATTGTGTGTTGTATTCAGTTAATGTTTGTTATTTGTGAGCAACAGGTTATCTTTATTTACCATACATTCTTGCATGCATTTAACAGTTAAGGGGTGCAGAAAGTAAATTGCGGAAACATAAATCCTACACTATTACAAGGCGCGGGTCTATACATCGCCAAAAATTACAAAGACCCGTTTTGATAAATAAGTACGGAAAGTAAATAAAACAGCAAAAGTCCTAATTACTATTACATCCGGAGGCAGTTACATAATAATCCAAAATAAGGAATTAAAATTAAAATGCGCGCGAAAGAAGAATCGGGAATGTCTTAAGGGTGTTGACCCTTTTTTAGAAAAAAAGAAATTGATTTTTTGGTCTTTTTTGTAATTAAAATGAAATTAAAGCTAATTAATGACTAATTAATTAATTTAATTAAAAGAAAATATTTTTTTGTTTTTATGTTTTTATGAAATAAAATAAAAAGAAATAAAACTCTAGGTTAACCTAATTCTAAATCTATTTTAATTATTAAAAAAAAGAGTTAAAATGGCCTAATTAAAAAAAACTAATTCAATTATTGTTTATTTACCAAAATAAAATAATAATAATAATAATGATGTTAATTCTTTTTTGGATTCTTTTTTATGAAAATGTTAATTGATTAATTAATTGTTAATAATAACAAAATGAAAGGTTAATAGTTAAAATAAGAGATAATGACAAAAC